AAGCAAAGCACATCGTTTGTCCAACGAACAGATAAGACAGCTTTTATTTTAAACATGGCACTCTAAAATCTAAAACACAAAAAGCAAGTATGTTCAGAGGAACTGATTTGGCAGAACATATACAAAAAAGTCAAAATACACTTTTTAGTGTCTGAAGCCCCATGAGAAGAGTATCAGCTGGGAAAGGCAACAGCGTAAGTGTAGACAGATTTGGAAACTTTCTGCTTATATTTATACTGAGCATTTTCAATCTGGTTAGATACGCCAGCTCACTCAAATCACTTTTATAAAGCAGCAGCAGAGCATTACTTTTGAACATTAGCATATCATGCAGCGTTTTCCATGAAGGAAAAAAGTAAGCATTCTCCTCAAAACTTAAGAGAAAGCAAATTTGCTGCCCTAGTTCTCAACAAATACAGGAACAATTTCGCCTTTTCTGAACAACTGTGACAAAAGAAAAGCAGTGTTCCTGTTTTAGAGGTATGGAAGAGGCAAAGGTACTAGAAGACAGGCTCAAGACACCATGACAACATTCAAATTAAGACTTGAATTGTGTGTTTATACTTCTCTACAATCAATCTAGATTGTTTCCTGTTCGTAAAATGCCACGATTAGCTCTTACATATTAAAACCAGCTAAACTGAAGTAACAGCATAAAATTAGCCAAAGTAGAGAGAAGCATGATTGTACTGTATCGCTCTTCTCCCTTGAAGACACCAGTAATAAGTTCAGACATTTTACTGCCCAAAGCTATTTTCATCTTTGCAATTTTTAAACCAAACATGACAGCGCTTCTCAAATTTCCAATCCTTTGCATGCATTTCTTAGTCATCAAAGGCTCCTTTCCTGCTTGCACTCCAATTTTTTTGAGGCAGTTAGCCACCACTGGCTATGGGAGGAGCTACATTTAAACAGGCTAGCTTTAAACAGGCTAGCTCTGGAACGTTTAAAGAAGCAGTGAAAATACTGGCAATGTTATTTATATACTACCAACACTCACTTCTTCCATCTACTAGTCTGAATATTGCCTTGCGCAATTAAAGCTTGCTAAAAGTATAAAAAGTTGCCTCTATCATCTGTGGTAAATTTTTCAATGCTGGTCTACTGCAAACACAAAAGGCTGCAAACAAATATTAGATTTCAACTTAAAACTAATCATTCTATTTCATCACATAGCAGTTAACAGAATTTTAGGGAATAAGACTAGGGTTTTATGACAAACTTTAATCCAGATTGTCTGACTTACTGGAAAACAGCCAGATAACGTTTACTTGGAAAACAACTGCTTAATTTTGCCTATGTTAAGAGCCTCGGGTGGGCCCTTGCTGGTGACATGGCATAGACGACTTGGATTTTTGGGAAGATTTTGTATCACTAAAGAAGAAACTCCTCCGTATATAAAACCACTAAAGATTTACACAAAGCAAAAGCTGAAGGTGAACATGAACAAGGGGGAAGTAGAAGGGAAACAGCTATGCCTGCCTGAAACTGTAAGAGACATTAACTAGGGAGTTGCCCCCTCCCCTCGCATTGGCTTTGAGCCTTGGCTGAGGCCAGCACCGCAGTGATGTTAAAGCAGGGAGCAGCACAGCTGCACCAGTACCGCTTCACACCCCATCTGCTAGTCTATCCCAGCAACTACAGCCTCCAGCACTTCTCCACTGTAATTTGCACCTGCTGCACAGCACATACTGACAATGAATACAGAGAACGATGTAAACAAAAGAAAATAAACTACGTAATTATACAAGGCCTGACAGATACCTGCACATCCGTAAAACTGTCCTGGCTTCATGTGTGAACAGACTGAAATCCGAGCTGAGCACCCTTCTCTGGGTTTGTTTTTTCCCCCCCAATATATTTTTTTCAGGTAGGCACAGAGACAAACAGTAACTACCATGACCAAGGTAACCCAGAAATAAAATCCTCATAAAACAGATTTGGAACATGCTTAATGGGTCACTCACCTGGTAGCCTGTTTGCCATTTTAAACAACTCTAAGGACAGGAGATGATGTCCCTTGCAGAATGCACATCTGTCCCACTCCTTCATGACTGTCTTTTCTGCTGAACAGAAGCCTGACCCAGTACTTCATTGTTTTTCACTTTAAACAATTCAGTCACTGACAATGAAGAAATGATACACTGATCTACTTCACAACAGAAGAAAGTAAGTTAACTGGGGAAAAGTAATCTGCTTTTTCTCTTTCAGTACCTGAGACATTTCAGGCTTGGATACATTGTTGAAACACCTGCGTAAACATCAAACTAACACCCTGCACAATACATTCTGTTCATGGCTCCTGACCTCTTCCAGAAGCCACAGCTTTTACAGCAAAAGCCGTTTGAGGGTGCTTGCAGCTGGTGAAAACTGTTTTCTGCCCAATGCTAGGAAGCAAATCTCACTACTGTTAGTTCATAAAACAGGCTCTTCAGCTGTCTTTCAAAGGAGGACAGACCAAATAGAAGAGAGGAATAAACACCACCCTGGCTACTGGTCTTTATGCTTTGGGTCTTTATGCTTTATGAGCATGGGGGACAGCACTTGGCAACACCCTGACTGCAGTACAGGATCCAGAGCAGCGAAAATGAAAGCAGGAATCACTCCAGTAATTCAGCTTTATCTTCTCACAGCTTAGGCCTGCATTAGAATAGAGATCCTATGGTAAATATGGAGAGTGGTATGGTAGCACCAAGACAAAAAGAAACCCATATGGTGGAAGAAGGGTAATCACCAAAGAGGATTCTTGCTCTTTTTCATGGCCAGGCAGCCCATGCTTGACTCCAGACTGAAAGCCATCTCAGGAGATAGCACAGATGTCCTGGTGTGCTGCTGTCAAGACTGATCCCATAACACTGTACAGACTAGCAAGGGCAATAATGCCTATCCTGAGTTCACACACCTCACTCCCAAAAAAGGGGAAACTGAATGGGACCATGAAAACGTGTACTAGCGCATGTCCTCCCATGTCTCCTCTGCACCCACACTGCTGGCTCTGCAGGCAGAGCAATGCATGTGCGAAAATGCTAGGTACCAGCTCTGTACTTGGGAAGGAATGGAAGGGGAGGGGATCAAGCCCACCTGTGCTGTCAGCAGGTTGCTGCATGAGCTGGAACCTGTCTGTAGGCTGCCACTGAAAGACATTGACATCCAGCACATCACATGCATTTTAAATTAGATTTTCACCCCAGATTATAATTTTCTCGTAAAAATGTTTCAGCGTTAAAAAGACAGCTAAGGGGAAAGCATTAACTGAGAATGAATTGGAAAAAACAGAACTGGCATTGTATTCACGTGCATGTTATTCATTGTGGTTTTTTGTTTAAGTAAAATTTGTAGCCAAGGACAATGGCATATGCACCCATTACTAAAAAAAAAAAAAACAACCCAAAAACAAACAATAAAACACCCCACGGTACTAACATCCGGGAGGTAACTTTTCACATTAAGATACATTTAAACCACCTTCCAACATGAAAAAGGGTAGACATCCTACAAAAAGATTTTAAAAACTTAATTTTCCAGATTTGGAAGGAAAAAAAAAAGGAAGATAAAACTCCATATTTGATTTGCTGCTGTCTTGCCTCCACAGTTCTAAGAGCTTTTATTACCAATTTATTCACCACAGTTGCGTAACGGCAGATTTAAAATATAATCCCAAACCAGTTTTTAAAACAAATTAAAAAATTTAAATAGGGTTTTAGAAAGTAATTATGTAAGTTTAAAAGTGACCTAAGTCAGACACAAAATACTACATAATTCCTACACAACTATTTTAAGGTTTTGAAGCTTTGTTGGCTGATATTTTCACTTTCAGATTTTAATGAAAAAATTATCTTTTAACTAATCTTTTCACTAAAAACTGCCTTATAGAAAATAAATTCTAAGTTTCTCCAGAGTTCTTGGCCTATAACCTCCTAAATTAGTGCTCACTGGAAACAGCATTTAGAAAAGTGTTCCTTAGTTTTAAGTATCACAACCGCTAAGATGTTTCAAGAGAGTCTAAAACTAAGTCCATCTCCCACATCTCTGAAAAAACAAAAGAGAAGGAACCTATTCTGTATTGCCCAGAAGCTAATTACAGAGAATGTATTTTTAAAAGTTGCTGACTGTATTTAAACAGAGTTACGTAAAAGGCAAGCACTATGTTTCAACGATATAGCAGTATAGCTGGGAAGGACTTCCATTTTATGAGTGTATTAGGCTACACAGGAGGTTTTATTTAGTACATTTCTGAAGTCTTTTGGAACATACTCCACTGTGGTCTTATCTAACAGGAAATCCATTTTGGTCTAATAATATAATGCCCATGAAAGATACCAGATATTCTTAAAAACAAAACATCTAAGGAGGCTTTCCTTTGAAAAAATGAAGTATTTTTAAGTCTTTTACACCCAAGAGGAGCTACAGTGTCTTCCTTTCCACCTTCTCATCAGCTAGGTGGTTTTGGAGTAAACAGCATCCTTAATGCATCTCTGTCTCCAGCCCGTACATTACCTAGTGCTTCGTATCAAACATATGCTGATGCTGCACCAGTGCCTTCCTGCTTATCTGTGAGTGTCCTCAACTAAAAATATCAGTGTGAGTTTTAGCAAATACCGTTACAACAGCGATTCTTCCTCCTGTTACTAGTGGCAGGTAAGACACAGCGATCCAGCTTCTCATTGAGGATGACAAAGCTGGGAACCCAAAGCCAAAACGTAACGCGCTATAGGAACTGGTTTGCAAGTGTGGAAATTACCCAGCCTCTCCCATCTGTAATTTATTATGTAGCACTTGCCAGATGGAAGAAACCTCGTTCTTTACTTAGCACCTTGCACCTATACATGCTAAGGGAAAGGGGTGGGCGGGAAAAAACAACATTTTGGAGCGTGGTCCTGGAATGCCACCGTGACAGACTGCGCACCAGCGCCGGGCTGTGATTTTGCAACCGCGTTCTCTCCCCGGCGGGTAACACATGCAACCATCGTGGTAAGAGGGGCAAGAGTCGTGACACTCACGAGATGTAGGCGGGGTAGCCGAAGCCGATGATGTTGCAGAGCAGGGACGCGCCGTAGCCCACCACCAGGTACACGGCCACCGCTCCGACGATGGCTGCGCGGGGAGAGAGCACAGAGCCGTTAGTGCGGGCGGCCCCTCACCCCGCGGCGCTGGAGGGGGACGTGTCCCCGCCCACCCCCGCGCTCCCCGGGGAGGCCCAGCGCCGCCGGGGGAGGACGAGGAACAGGAAGGG